CAACTGTGCCAGGCGGGAGACTTAACAAAAAATGTAGATGTATGATGAGGTGCATGAACTATCCAAGTAAATTGAATAAATGAATAAGCCTTAAATCATTCGTTTTTCCTTCTTCCTGTGATTTCAGGTTCATTTTGTATTTTCTGCACTTCTCAAAAGTAAAATGAATTTCGTGTCATAAATTAAACATTATACTTTATTTGAGATATGTTCTATCTTTTTCATTTATCCTAAAAACCATTTTTAAAGGGTTGTTTTACAAATATCTTTCATACACAAAAATATTTCATTAAATTCACCTAGTAAAATTATATTTTATAAAGACTGCACTAGGAATAACAATTCACATAAATTATCATTAAATATGGTGTATGGCCAGTTTTTTTTTTAGTACTAAGCACACATGCATATATTGCTAAATCAAACATAAGAAAACAAAAAGAAACATTATGGAGAGTGTACACTAAAATACTACAAATGTTTTAAGAGAGAGAGAGAGAGAGTTGGGAGATAAACATACATATACCTCAATAAAACTGACAATCAATCAAAATTTAGAATTTGTTTAAAAAAAACTTTTTCTACGCTCTCTAAGAATTGTGTATCTGCTGATCATCTAGTGCGCTATAAAAGGGAGTAATCCAAACCTACCGAACAAAGCAATTCTTCACTTGAAGGAAACATGTTAACCCCAGCCATGGGAGCTTTCTATTTCATATGTTTCATATTTTCAACACACATGACCGAAACTTTCGGGCAATTATCTTTGCTTCAAAACAGAACCTTTGATGAAAACGGTTTGTTATCTAGTACCGTATCAGGTAAAGCGTCCAATGTCCTACGGAATATTCTGAATCAGGAGAGTCTTGTACGTTTCTCCATGTTACAAAGAATTCAGAGTTTGGTTATGGATGCCATAGACAATAAAAACGATAGACAAGATATAAAGACAAAGCTTAGGGATGTGATTAATGATTTACAGGATTTGGAGACAAAAGACCAGAGAATAGAGGCAGAAAATGATAAACTTAAACGAGAGTTGAAGGCTTTGAATGTAACATTGAATAACACAAAATTTCTTACAAAGGAGGAAATTAGGAATCTTAACGAAACAGAAATATGGAACCTTAGAAAAAACTTAATTGACAAATTACAAGGTATGGAGAAAAAAAGAAAAGCTTGTAATTGTCCATATTAAATCCCTGAATGAATCAGAAATAAACAACCTTAAAGAGAGAGGACCAGAAAATAACTGTGGAAAGTGAAAAATCAAACAGAAGACTGTCAGTCATTGAAAAGAAAAAAAGACATTTTGAATAACTCTCATTCTTCGTTTAAAAACAAAATTCAAATGTTGAATCTCCAAAACGATAAACAATTACAAGATAATCTTAGCAAACTGAACGAGACTGTACAACAAACCTTTGAAAAAACTATTAATAAAGTAGAGGACATGTTTAGAATTTACTCCATCTCTGTTAATAAAACACTTGAAGAAATTAATGTGGATCGAAATGAGCCGAATCTACAATGGATACAATGTTCTTCTTACATGTATCAAGTAACTGGTAAGTAAATTACAAAAAATGTAGGAAATGAAGAGAATTGCTCAGACTGATTTTGTTTCTATTTTATTGCATTGCAAAATTCTCATTAATATTTTCTTGTCAAATTGACAATATTTTTTATACAAGAATAACATAAGCTTATGGCTCGTCAGACAGTCTTAAAAATACAGGAGAAGTGTAAACACATGCTTGTTTTGTTTTTGAAACATTCAGCTTTCTTCATGTAAACCAAAAACAGAGGAAAAACATAAACACGTTGATGTATTATGTTTCATATGTTCAATATCTAGGCACTGTAAAGTATTTTTTTTATATAATTGAAAAGTTTGGAAGCAACAGTGGGTGTTTATCTGTAAGAAATATAATGTATGGACTTATGTGATGAAATGTGGTGGAATATAAGACTGGCCTCTACTGTGATGAAACATATTACTTTTATTAATTGCATCAATTCCTGAGTTGGCATATTGAAGTTTCAGGAATGAACGGGTTGTTTTAGCAAGTTTTATACAATATCGGCCGTACAATAAAAAGCTTGAAATTTGCAATATCCATAATTACAGATCCATATATATTATTATAACAGTAACTTAATCTGAAGAGCTTAATCTGTAGAGTTGACAGCACAGATCACCAGATCAAACGACAATCTGAGAATCCTTGCCTGTCAAACGAGACGTGAAACGGTTCTTCGGATTAGTTTCTGCCATAATGATGAATTTATTATATACCTCTCAAAATTTGCGAAAAAATAATAAAAGAAAACTTTGGGATCGATTATATACTGTAGTACCTTTTATCAAAGAAACAAAGTTTTTTTTTTCAAGAAACTCTTTAATAGGCAAGAGAAAAACGTCATGTAAACTGTGCACTACGTCGTCGGTTTCAGAGAGGGTGATATTGATTCAGAATACCACAGTGTGATGATCTGGAAAGTCGGATCATGCCGTCACGTGATTGTGTGAAATCTACAGTGAAATTGAGTGATACACAGTTGGTATATAATAAAAACCTGTATTCTGGTGCTGAAGAATCCAAATATGGACTCTCCTTGACTTTTTCAAAAAGACTATTTAAAAGTTTCAAAGGGACAGCGTAAGGTTTGGTGCAAATGTGATGAAGACCAAATTATTTGTTTACATTAGGTAGTAGTGAATCAAAGAGACATAGTGCATAATAGGTTTGTTGTAAGACTGATGTGTATTACTACGCATACGTCCCTGTGTCTTGCTAAAAGGTCCCTTCACATTCACGTTGCTACACTGTGGGCTTGAAAGATTCCCAACACTATCGACATTGTCATTCCTACCATATGGAAAGGCCGTGCCTAGTTTTTTCTAACTTGCCTAGCATTCGTCAGATGTCAACGGAAAGATATACACTGAACCAAACTTCTAAGTGTTCACCTAACATTTTTTAAGTTTTAAAAAACAAATGCATACAATAAATAATTTCTTTAATTCATGGTTAATGATGCATATTTCAGTTCGATGTTGCGTAAATTTCGTGTAAGTATCTCGTCAGAATTTTAAGTAAAGTATCAAGGACATGATGTACCCTCAAAATAAAAATTCACATAAAATAATCTCTAAGGAATAAGACCACCACTCGCTTAAATTACTGCAAGGCATATTCTTTTCTCATGGATACCATGTACCCCTGAATAGGATATTGACCCATCTGCTGCCACACCTACTGCATGGATCTTTCTAAACCGTTGAAATTGTGTGGAGGGGGGGGGGGGCTTTGACATTCCTTACAAAAATCCCAAATGTATTCAATAGGATTCAGATCCGGGAATTTGACAGTACATCATCACAGATACCTTTTGGTCAATATTCTTGGGCGTTTCGCACGTAAGTGTACCTCTTTAAGGATGATTCAGACTGTTTGAGATGATATTAGACTGCCACCAGCACCAATTTCTTATGATTTTTTTTTTACCATTTAAGTCGTTTGTTTTAATGTTTCTAAAATTGTTTCAGGACAATGTAACAAACTTTTAACCTAGTTGTGATGCGAAACGTTGGCCTCAGACGAAGATCCAGATCACTTCCGGTTTGATGAAATTTTGTCCAAATCTTTCAAATTGTGACAAGTTGGCGATGAAAATGACGCAGAACCTATAGAAAAATGTGTTTAAATGGGTTTTTATACTTGTTAATTTTTAAAAGTAATATCAAGGACAAATAAACACTAAAATAAAAGTGAGTAAAACATGGTGCAAGGATGATCCGGATAACAACATTCCAACGGCTCTCCCTCCTTTCTCAATGGTCATTTTGCCAATGTTTTGTGTTTTTTTAGTTAAACCAGTTTTCAAAAATTGAAAATGGTCACAAAAAGATGCTGATCACACAAAACACTTTTTAATCTCCGTCACGGTACATTGGTTTTCATCGGTGATAATTGATTTTCTTTCAACAATTGTTGAGAAGACTCGTTGGTTATAATAATTTGAAAATATACCATTCTATCTTGTAGTTTTTAAATAAATACTTTTATTAGAGTGAACACTTAGAAGTTTTGTTAAGTGTACTTAGTAATGGGCTATTAGTATGGTGTGTGTGTTACTTAAATAAAATATCCGGACATTTTGTCTACCCTCTTCCAAAATTCGTTACCACACGAAGCTGATAAATAGAGTCAAATTCAAACAATGAAACATAAAAAAAATTCTCCTTAAAAAATACAAACATTTACTTTAGATTTTATTCATGACATGTTAGAGTTCATATGCTTGTTTTGAAAGTAGTTAAAATACACTTTATGCATCGTAAATTAAGTGGGATTAACGAATGTTTTTTTTTCTTAATTTACATTGAATTGTGAAATCAGATGTTTCATTGAATTGAATGTTTTCTTGTCATTTTTTTTTTTTTTTTTTTTTGTCATGCATTTGGAAAGCGTTTTCACATATTATTTACCTTATGCCACTTTTATTTTTCACAATGCAGGGCGAACAAAACAAGTGTTTTAATATAAGGAAGAGAGAATTGATGAATTCTCTAAACATGTATTTAATTTCCTAATAATGAATATTCCAAGGACTGTCCTATAAAAAGGTACATGTATAACTTAATCTTAATTGTTATTATGTGAACTGGTAATTTTTTTTTCAAACAGTGCATGAAGGGTATTTCCATGATTGCTGGGACATTTTACAGAAATACCCAGGTCTACAAGGAAAAGACGGGATTTATCCATTTAATATAGCTTCCAAGCCAAAGTTTGTGTACTGTGACATGACAACAGAAGGGGGAGGGTGGACGGTAAGTTAAACCAGTCACGTGATTTACAAACAAAAAACTCTTTTTTTTTTTGTTAGATTGTAGAGATCTGCATTTTTCACTATGAAATTACACGTTGTTTTTTCTGTAACCTCCTTCATGTCGGAGCTACTCAAAGAGACAACCTTCTCAAATGTTTCAGGCCATACAAAGAAGACAGGACGGGTCTACAGATTTTTACCGTCAATGGTCAGAATATAAACAAGGATTTGGGAATCCCTCTAAGAACTACTGGATTGGTAACTTTTAACAGCAAAAATATCATTTTTTCTCCAATTTCAAAGGGTATTACAACCAAAATATCGTATCTTATTAATCAAATATGTTACAATTTGCACGAGTTAAACATGAGAAAAGATTTAAGGGACATTTATTCATATCTAAGAATACTTCTAAATCTGGTGCCTGAATTGAATGGAAAAATCGTCTACCCCCTTATAAAAAGAGTTGGAATTAAAAATAATTAACTATTTGACACTGCATGGTATAAAAATTAAAATCCAATTACCATTGAACTCCTTTGCATTCAAAAAAGAATTTACGGCCAAATTGCCATTAGAATTGAAATAAATAGGTGTAAAATATAAACGGGAATCGAGGGTTACCGTGCGTAGTTATTACTCGATGTGTTTTTAAATGTATGTATAAAATATAAACATAATTACATGTATATATAAACTTTGATAAATGTATACATTGCACCCAGGATTTTTTTCTGTTATACAAGTATTATTTAAATTTTTAAAAAGATTTAAAATAAGAGCAATTTACAATGCTTTCTAGTACCGTGTCTGCATTTTGGAATTTTTTTTTCTTGGACAACTTTAAATTTCCATAGAATAAGACCTAACAAACATAAAGATGTATTTATTTTCTTTGATCGTATATTTCTACTTGTTATCCTCACCAGTAAACTATAGTTTAGGATAGACAAATACGTATAATAAATCATATTAGTTATCAAAGTTTTCACCGATAAAACGAAGCATTCACCATCGTGAATAAAAGTATCAAAGCGTTTACCTAGAAAAAATTGATTACTCTTGATAAAATCAGAGATCGATATCATAATTATTATTAACTCTAATCTCTTCCTCCAAAGCCAGACTTACCCTCCGAAGCCATACTCCACCGAAAAGTTTGTTTGTTTGTTTGTTTGTTGTTTTACGTCCCTCTCGAGAATTTTTTACTCATATGGAGACGCCAACCAACACTTGCGGGTGGAGAGCTGCAAAATTTGTCCTATACTCGGCACTTACGGCCATTGAGCAGTGAGGGATCTTTTTAGTGCCAGCACCTACTGCGACACGGGACCTCGGTTTATACGGTCTCATCCAAAGGACCGGTCTCCACACAGTGGGATTTGAACCCACTACGTAAGGATCAACTCCTTACTTCGCGACTCTAGAGCCCATCGAAAAGTATTAAAGGGAATAAAGCAACCCAAGTGGAAGGCTCACTTTAGACCTTACCCCACTCGCAAGATTTAATCATTGGTGATACAATACCCTGAGTGATGGTTCACTCGAGGGCCATGTTCTTGATATAGAGTGAAATATCCTCTCCCCCATCAAGGTAAATTTTAAATTTGTTAACTTATTGGAAAGGAGAACGAGCATAATATAAATTTTGTGTTTAAAGTCATAGTAACATATACATACTGTTCGTGTTGTCTTATTTTATTTCATACTATATTAGACATATGGGTACAGTGAACTTATCTAAGCCATACGAAATAATGATATAAAATTTCATTGCAAGACCTCGAAGGCTTTTAAAATATCATTCAAAAACTAGAATGTGACACATACACAGAATATCAGCCAGTCGGAAGGACGGTTAAACGAACAGTCAGACCCAAATTAATATCTTTCACTTACAGTGTAAGCAGGAGCAAATGAGCTCCGCTTTAAAAGTTTGGTGAAAGGAAAGACCTACATTGGGGGTAAGTTAGTCTCTACAACAAGTGGTAGAGTAGGTCATCTCGCAGGGAGTTGAGGCTCCTCTGATTTACGTCATCAGAGGTTCTCCTGCTTTAGTGTAATTCAATATCCGAGTGTAGTCTCGATCACTCTAGAGGAAAACATCCGGGAGGAAGTCTCTCTTTAGAGTATGACTTTCCCACGGATGTCTTACTATGTGAGAAGTCACGACACCGGTTTAAGAAAAATGCTCTAATTAACCCCTGTTTGGTTCTTTCAAAAATATTTATTGCCGAAAAGGAGAAACTTTAGAATTACTGTACTACATCTTATTCTAGAAGTGATGTAATTCAGATGTGGCCGAGATTCTCAGAAACTCCAAAGAACATTTAGAAAACGTACGGCATGTCTACACTTGTTACAACTATTCATCACGAAAATTAAAAACCACTCTTTTTGATATATAAACAACTGCTTCTTAAGTAAAAACGAAACTCAGAATATCTTGTGATTGAACATCCACAAGGTTACCTTCTTAACAAATCACTCTGATTCGATGCTGAAGATGTCGGAGTTCCTCATTGACAACTATCACATAGTTTTCGGAGACAGGATCTTTTAACAACTTGTTGGATTTCGATGGGTACTGATTGTTTACCTTTATTAGCCGACCTGTTTTTATATTCCTATGACACAAAATTTATTCAAAAACTTCTACGCGAAAAAGAAAATACTTGCTGTGGTCTTCAACTTGCCATTCAGATATATCTCCGACGTTTTCTCAATTGAAAGTTTGTTACTTCCTTTTATTTGTCGGCTAGATATTTCCCACTAAATTTTAAATAAAAGAACCACAGAGTCTGTCACATCTGCTCATATTTAAATGTTTAACTAACTATAGACTATAAGGGCCAACTAAAAACTAAATTGTATGACGAATGAGATGACTTAACGAGGCCAAGTCTAATTCGAGTGCGCATGACTTTGTGCAGCTTTTTAATTTCATGCAGTTGTATGTGCGACATTACACCTTTCCCAAGTATTGTGATTTTAATACACAAATAACATTATCTGTAACGCTTCTGGGTATGAAAATGTGCTTTTACGACAATAATTAGGAAAAAATGCTGAAATGACTCTAACGACGTCATCGTTTTCCGATTTTCTAAGCAATTCATGACGCTGAAGGACTCGCTTGTATATTCAAGACGTCCATTAACATTTTACTAAAAACTGTTGACAGAACACCAAAAGAAACATGCTAGCAATCTATACATTATTTATTTTTTACCAAAATAATTCATCTGCGCCGATATTTTATCTTCACCGATATATAAATACCGCATTAGGGCAATTTTAGTGGCATTGGACATTGAACAAAAAGATTGTACTAATTCCTAGACCGATCTAGCTAGATGGTCAACTTTTTTGAAATTTCACAATTTGGTGATTATTACAATAACTTTCATGTACTTGACTGAAAAAGAAATCTCTAGGTCAGAAATACAAAAAATGTGGAAAAATATGATAATCTGGCGCTTTTTCATCAAATTCCCATAGGATCCAATAGTAAAATTTGAAAACTTTTGAGATTCCCCCTAAGAAACATTCGATTTTTTAATCTTTAAACACTAAATATAAAAGTAAAAATTAATTCAAGAATATTTATCAAAATTTCTGAGGTAAAAATAACCTTGAGGTCAACCTTCCTTATTTATGTAGAAATATTCCTCTTTCACCTGCATATGGTATTTATATCTCACAACGTATTCGATATTCAAGAGCATGCTCTTAGTACGGTCATTTTTTTAATCGAGGCAAACTACTGACTGATAAATTAATGTTACAGGCATTTCAACGACAAACGTTCAAAGTCAAAATTTTCTATATTGTATGGTCGTTATAAAGACTTTGTTAGCAAAATATAGTACTTTCCTTGATCGAATTTTGGCTGTTGTTTCATACCAATTGTTAGGCCTTTGTTTTTATATTTAACTCCGTCTTCCGAATGCTCCGTCTTCTTGATCAATACATAGGTCTTACGGCGGCTGTTACGGGTCAACAGGGGATGCAAACTCCTCTTAGACACCTGATCCCACCTTAGGAATTTTCAAGGGTTCGTGTTTTATGTCCGGTTCACAGATTTTGTAGATTTCTTGAGATCGATCACTATTTATTATTCTCTTTTCTCTCATGCAAAACTCTTGGTATAAAAGGAATCGTGTATTTTTTTCATTCTTTGTATCTTTAGACAGTGGAATAGAGATATTTCTGAAAATAGGCAAAATTGAAAATCCTCTGGTTTTTGAAACAATTATAAAAAAAAAATGTATAATTTATAATTGCGTATTTAACAAAATTCCATTATAGTCGCCCTGAAAAATTAGACTTATAAAATTCAAAATTAATTTTTGCATTGAAACTAAACTTGTCGCACTCTATTTCAACAATTAGTTTTTACAAATGTACATTTATATATAATAATAAGTGTGTCAATCTGCTTATACAGTTGTTGGTTATATTATGGAAGGTCCATACTTTACGGAATCTGGTTTTAATTTCATAAACCGATTATAAAATTATTGTTATCACTTTATCGAAATTATCTCTTTTTCGGTGATGGTTAACAATACAGCAAGTATGGATTTATTTGTTACAGTGTCATTGTGCATACAAGGCATTTAATATGATTATATAATTTATGGAAATCAACACTCTGCACTCTGCCTCTTGGATCTCTAGGTCATTTTATCCACACACACACACATACACACACATACACACACGAAATTCTTAATTGCCTGTATGGACCAAAACTATTAGTAATTATTATACAAAATGACTTGAGATCTTTTTTCTTTTTTAAGACTGTAAAATCTTTATTTTTTATTTTACAGTTTTTCAAATTTTGCAAAGAATGATGTAAAACTCGTTATCCCCAAAATGGGGGTGTACATGTTCAAAAGACTGGTTTGTAAAGTTTATGTGATCAACTTTAAGCTTGATAAAATATGATTTTTTTGTTAATATTAGATAAAATTCTAAATAATTTTAAAGAAAAAAAAATGGTAAGTAAACAGTTAAGATTTTGAGAATTATTTAAAATTAAAGTATATTGTGATTTTTTTTTTTTTTTTTTTTTTTTTTTTTTTTTTTTTGAGGATGTGGACAGATTTTGCATCAATTTGTTAATGCTTTCCAAGGAAAATCTTCAAAAACTCTGAAATTTATTTTTTTTTAAGTCAGGTAGCGTTTTATATGAGAATGAAAAAGAACATGAAACAATCTTAATTCATCTTTATGATGAAATATTTAATTTTAGAGTTAAATTTTACCTGTTAGATTACCCAATTAGAATATTCATAAACCTTAAAATTATCCCGAAATTCGCACATCTAAGTTATCTTTCTATTTCCCACTTTTATTTTACTTTTTATGTAACGTTATGAAAAAAGTGCTTTGACCCAGATCTTAGAAGTTGTACATTTCCAAATCTGACGCAGCCTACTTTGCTACCTTGCTAGCACACGAAAATAATTCATTTTTACTGTTTTGTTAAACTGATATAAAATCTGGATTAATATCAATAAATAATAACAGACATGTTCAAAGGAGTTTAATTTGTTCATGTGGTACCTGTATCAAGGATAGAAGTGTTCCATTTAAGCACTTTTAAAATTTTAAAATTGAGATCTTTGGATGACGAAGATCATTTTGTCAAACATGCGATTAACATAAACAGTTAATAGGCTACACGTTGCACTGGTACTTCTTTTTTACAAAGGAAATGACGCAATCTATGAGCTGACAAAGAACAAGGACCAGGAACTCAGGGTTGAACTACAAAGATTTAATGGTGAGAAAGCATATGCACAATACTCCACATTTTATGTTGGAGATGAAGGCAGTAAATACAGACTCACTGTGTCGGGGTATTCAGGAACGGCAGGTATGGGCCTTTAAATGATTTTACACACCTCACGCTGTTACAAATGTTATGGGCATCTGATCATAATTGCCGAGTTATATGTATCAAAGACTTAAATATATTTTAAAACAGATGCCTCATTTATTTTTAATGTTTTATTCGAGTTGGCCTGGGGGTCATTTTTCTCCGTGTGGGTTGTAGAAAAATGACCCCGTACAAAAATGACCCAGTGTCTTTTTTTTTATACAAAAAACTGGTTTTGGTAGGAATATTCTTGTTAGGCAAATACACAGGGGTAAAATCACGCAGCCTGAAAACTTTGAAGTTTAAATAACAAAAGTTTATACTATACCTTACATGTACATCAATGATACAAGATCTTTTATCCCATTAAAGGAAAAAACAAATAACTAGGCTATTATGATGTTCGATGACTATAAGAGCAGAAATACACGTGTTCTTAGATTTGTTTTATCACATTTTATAAAATAAGTTTCCACAGTCGTCATTTAAAAACAAACAATATTATTTACTTAGCTGGTGTCAGAAAGAGAAACTTATATATATGAATAAAAATGCATGGTTTCTGTGAATAATTGTAATGATCCTCTTTAAATTTTACTCTGGGTAAATAATGTAAAAAAGAATGGAAATAACGTCTCAAGCTTTTTTTTCTTCAGAAGTTACAAGAAGGATTAATATTTCCGAACCCTACCCAAATAAATTTGCGTGAAAAAGGACAATTGTTAATAAAATTTTATATAAATATATATATACACTACTAAGTCAGAAACGTACTGACATTCCCATTTTTTACTGATAAACTTAGACAATTACTGACCATGTGCTGTCTTTACTGCAAAACTTAGACAATTACTGACCTTTTTACTGCCGGTGCTGATAAACTTAGAAAAGTGCTGACAATCTTAGTCGGTGCTGATAAACTTAGACAATTACTGACCCGTTTACTGTCCCTGCTGAAAAACTTAGACAAGTGCTGACATTTACTGATAATTACTGTCCCTATTGTTCTCGCTCTCGGGGAGGCTGCAGTGGTGTGAAAATGTTTGTGTGTATTATACTTTCAATTTAGAAACAATCTTAATTTAATCTCAATAATATTCTGAAATAAAATGCGAGTTCCAAGACATTTAAACTGTTTAAACTAACAATTTTTTTTTATTGATATCTGTAAAATAATTCATAATACGATGTACAACTAATTATGCGTGAATCAAGTTTAAATAATTATTGTGTGGAAAAATTGTACTTTATTTTTATCCCTGTTAAATCAAAAATAAATAAATAAATTAACTAACAAATTGGTTTTCATTTATTCATACCATCGCAGGTGGATGCTAAATAGGCAGCAAACATATTAATTATTTCTCTCTCCTCGTAATTTTAAGACGTTCAAGGAATCGTGCTAATGCAACACTTCTTTTCTCTCTTTTCCAATGTTTTGAGCAAAGGCAAACTTTATTGTGTCGATCTCATATTTCAGAGGATTCTTAAACTGCTTTTAATTTACGCAATGAAACCATATTTTCCAAAATTATCTTACGAAATAATGAAAATCGCTGATTCGTTCGACGCCTTCTCTTTTATTCGTTTACCTTACACATGCTAAAGCAGTGAGGCGTGACCAAGATACATTCTTGTATATCTTAATAATATGAAAATTGCAGTGGTCAGTTTATATCAATAGGTCCTCATTGCCTATTGTTCTATGTCTGCGCTTGACCACTGGTGTAAGGAGTAAATATACAAACTGATTGACCACTCTGCATGCTCAGAGCAAAACTGAGTTAACTTCTCGGGCCTTTCCGACTAGCGGAAAAACAACTTCGAATGTATTACGTAGACGTCATAATAAACCCCCTTTTCACAAACTTTGAAATAAATGTGGGAAGACCTCTTATCTGTGGAGTATAGAGTTTAACTTTATTAAATGTAAGAGAGGATTCACGAGAAAGATCCCTCACTGCTCAATGGCCATGAGTGCAAAGTGCAAGGTCGAAATGTGCACGAAAATTATTCCCACGATTGATGACCATGAGTACAGTATACAGGTCGACATTTACACGAGAAAAATCAATCACTGCCTAATTTTAGAAAACTAAATTGTTGGACAGTTGGACATCTTGAAACAGGATAATGGCAGAATATATTATTGACTGTATATTTACTCAAAGAAACTTGCCTTTTAGCAAATTATGAAATTAATGGGGGGGGGGGCTATAATGTTTTGCGATTTTATTTTCACCAAAAGGCGCTTCAGACCTACAGTGTATGATTATTCTCTATCATTTTATTTTAAATGTTAGCATTTTCATTTTAAGGGGTATGTCAGTTCTTAATAAATGCAAATTTAGTTTCTGTGCTCTCAAGCGACAATTCAAGGGAATGAAAGAGCTTGACTCGTGATTTGGTAGAATTCCGTTAGATACATGTAAATGTTATTTGTCGGTGATTTAAGATGTGCAGACAATTTTAGGATAGTACGGGTGAACAAGGAAGGTCATGTATAGTTTGATTTGCAAAGGAAAATAACAGAAATTGATTTTTTATTCACAGCAAGAAGGTAAGGGTCTTGTTTGAGTTGGATATATGTAAACTGATACTGAATTCATTTCATCCTCGTAACTCCAAGAGAAAAATCATTAATTATTAAGGTGTATCCGAATTAACACTAGTACTGACACTCTGAAGCCGAATGCGTTAAACACTGTAAACAAAATCATGAAATGTATTAAAGTGCAATGAATTATCGTAGAAATATTTACATGTGTAATAGAGAATTAGTATGAAATGTATTTCTAACTTAATACATGATCCTCTTTCATTAATAGTGACTTTTCTTTCCTGTTGCACATGGAAAATACACGACTGTAATTTTAACTGCCGCCAGTTGATTCAAAAAGCTCAACGAAATATTCATCAAAACATCAAAATGAGATTTAATCTTCAATATTAGCATACACATATATTCTCCAAGTTACATGAAATACATGTACCCAATATCTATATAGTATACATGAAATGGATTCATTTGTTACTTTGCAGGGTGAAAATCTATGTGGCCACTTGGTACAAAATACAATCTTTATCGTTATTATTAGTATTTTTTTATTCATTTGTTTCAGTTTTGATTAATATTTTATATCGATCTTTTTTTTATATAAATAAGATTAATACTATACATTGTAGGTCCCCAACATCTTCCGTGCCGAGTTGCCGTTCGTGTCTCTCTCTCTCTCTCTCTCTCTCTCTCTCTCTCTCTCCCAAAAAAATCAATATTTATCCAGGCGAAGTGAATGAAGACAGGTTTAGATACAGTATAAATCCGACTGAGATTAAATTTTTATTCTTCTGATATTGTATGTAAATTATTTTCGAATAATTATTCTTAAATTGTTGATTAAAAGTTCAGATAATATACGGTAACTTTGAATTATGTCCAGTTTGTGTTTTTTAATTTTTTTTTTAAGTTGATAAACAAACTTTACATGCATCTTCAAAATGTTTATCATCTATGGTAAATGCAAGCGACAACACATTCATTATAATTGTTCTCTCACCTTACCGTTCCTTGAAATGAACGTCGCACACTAACCCGACTTAACAGAAAATATTAGAAAGAAACCCCCTGAAAACCATGTTTTTGCAACACTATAGTAGTTATTAAATTACATTGTATTATTTTTTTGCTTGTTAGAAATTGCAGATAAATCTTAAAAGTTTGTGTCTTTCCAGAACTTTGCTTTTTACATATTATTTCTAATTGATACTTGATAATTCATTTTAATTTGTCTCATATAAATCTAGTAGACTAAGTATGTTTTATTTAGAATAGCAATATTTATTCTAAAAAGAGGGTGAGAGGTGTGTTAAATTGCTCAAAATTGTGTTGAAGAACAGACAGGTCTACCGGTCGCCGTAATGTTGCGTAACTAACTTCCTGTGATATCCGGCGAGTGCCCCTCTGTATAATGCTGCAGTGACACCTGTTGTCTTATTTTCTCGCTACCGTACACACTCGGATGGCCTCAGGCGATTTCTTCTACACAAAGGTGCTTCACAGAGTTTCCGATTGTGTGTTCGATAATTCTCTGCTAGTTATCAAGTAACAGACTTGAAACACTAGAGCCGAGCTCGTTGCAATGCAACGAATAGGTCTTCCGTCGGAGCTCCGGACAGAACATAGCGACCTTGAGTCAAGGTCATGCAACATTTTAAGGTTATAAACAATCCTGTAAGGGGCATCAACTTCCAATGTTTCAACAGTAGAAAGACAGTAAAAGAATGTAAAATTCCCCTGTCAGTGAACTTGAACTTGTCCAAATAATCGTGCGTCAAGCCAGGACACATTCTGCAGCTGGTTAAGAGCAAACACCATCTGTATGTCATCGACAAAAAAAAATTCACAGTCACGTATTCTTTCAGACTATTCATCCAAAACATCATATTCTAAGTGACCTCGAATTTAAGTCAAGGCCATTACACACTTTGGATGATATATTTATCATCTTTTCAGTGAAATGCAAATGCATGCAATTTTTTCTATTACAAAATTAAAGACCTTTTTGTTTGTTTGTTTGTGTGTGTGTATGTTGTTTAACGTCCCTCTCAAGAATTTTTCAATCATGTGGAGACGCCACCATATTTGCCGATGGAGATCTGCAAATTTTGACCTATACTCGGCACTCATGGCCATTGAACAGTGAGGGATCTTTTTCGTGCCAGCACCTACTGCCAGACGGGACTTCAGTTTATACGGTCTCATCTGAAGGATCGGTCTCTGCGTCCCATAGTGGGATTCGAACCTGCGACATAAGGATCAACTCCTTAATCCACGACTCTAGAGGAGACACTCTTACCACTGCGCCACGTGGGCGACTAGACCTTTTTGAATTTTACACTTATTATATCAGTGACCTTGAACTTGCCTAAATGACCTATTTTAAGGTCAAAAACAACCTTTGAACTAATTATGAGCTTCCAGTGATACTCAATGACCA